TTCCGATTAATTGTCTGGCGCACTTATATACAAGAATAGAGGGCGCCTAGCAAATACTGGATTATTCGTGATGTTCCCCGATCTTTCTAGAACTCATTACTTGTTACTAGCGTCACGTGACTTTCACTGTCGTAACACTATCATTAGTGTTTTCGCGGAACCCCCTTTTTTGTACGTTCACTTATTCTAATGTTAAGTATAGTGGTTTTAAAAGAATTCCATGTTAGGCCAATATGTGAACCTTAGTTTTCCAGAAACCCAGTAGTTAGACCTGAACAGGCGTTTTAATATGCTTGAGTAAAACATCAAAAACAGGCAACGATTGAAGTTTGTATTATGGTGGTTAAAATTCGGATTGCCTGACTGTTACTGGTATTCACCCAAACATAAACAACCAACAGCGGAGTTCGTATTTTAACCAACGCGTAATAATTCATATTAAATATTTAAGTGAAAAAGCCAAAAAGTATAATTTTATGAATTTATAAACATAGGCTATAAATTATAATTTGCTTCTATAATAAGTTTAAGATATTGTTGCCAAGCTTACAAAAGTGCAGTGATATTGATAACTTTCGAAGCTCAGATAACTTATGAAGGAATGTATTAAACACTGAGAAATCGAAGTTAAGTAATTTTTTCCCGCAGATATAATATTTTAATTTCACTCTTTTCTAAGCCAAAATGTCATACAGCATTGGCATTATCTATACCTTTTGTTTTCTCAAAAACATTGTACATTTCATATTATAGACTGTCTTTTTTATTGCAAAATTATTTACATTTAATTATATTCCAGAATCACTGTCTTCATATACACACACACAAACGTTAAAACTCATCCCTCATTTTTAAAATCTTTAGGTAGGTATGAAACTGATAGTTTAGTTAAACCATCACTAGGGTACGTTGTCTCACGTCAGCTCTTGTCCCCACTATCTGTAAGGATTGCCCCTCCATTTTTCCCCGCCTTTCTCCTACGCGGTTGTTACATACTGTCGAATGGATATATTAGATGACTCTTGTGAAATGCTTTAAAGATGACACTTGCTGTGGCTGGTTCCATGATATTTTAGCAATCCCATGGGGAAACAAGCATTTTCAATATGTTCATTGTTAAGTTTATCTAACGTTTTCTAATCAACCTGGAGCTTATGAATTATAGTAACGAAGTTAAGTCCACTTATCTGTGTTGCTTTCTCGTATTAGTTACCAAGATAACGATGGATGAGAGATAAAGATATAAAGTGTAATAAATAGAAACACATTTGCTGAGAACTCCACTTGATGAGTTGTCTTTGTAACATAATCCACTTGCACGAAGAGAAACCACAATATCACATACAAAGGCCTTATCTAAGCTTTCATATAGCGTTTTCACTGGCTATTACCCGACGTTCTTCTCACGTGGGACAAGGACGGATTGACTTCATTACCGCCGATGACACTGATCTAGCTCTAACATCACCGGTACAAGCTGCCACGTGATATGAGTCGCCATAAGACAACAATAGACAAGCGTTCTATAAACGTGTGGTATAACGGAAGGTGTTTTGTCTCTTGGCATATCGTAACAGCCTTTACGTCACGTGGCACGTGGAGAAGAAGACAGCTCCAAACAATTCTATAGCATAAGTAGGTCTTGAGGGAAAATCGCAGTTATAAATGACGCCGTTAACGTCAAGTGCATTTTATCGTATACGTTTTTAGTAAATATGATTTACTGTTTAAAAAGACCAGTTTGACGATCGAGTTACGTTCTAGTGGTAACGATAATTTAAAACAGCTGTCAATAGTTTATTTGAAGTGTAACAGAAAGATGTTTCCATGAAAGATTATTATTTTTTCTTTTTTCTGATCATATTATGTTCATATTAAGGAAAGATCGTATTATTTTCTGATAGAACTCATACAGTATAACTTTAACTCTAGCGGTTCAAAAAATAAATTAATTTTGTATTTTAGCCCAGGGCACAATTCGACACATACATCTCGTTCAGTTACTAGTAAACTTTCTAAAACTAACTAGAAGAAGGTGATGATTTATTATTTTTTGTTATTGTAATTAAATTACGTAAAGGTTTAAATAACTCAATAAAAATTGAAATTGAAGTTCAATGATAATTCCTGGAAGATGTTGATAAAAAAATTAAGGTTAAGCCTCACTATATATATATATATATATATATATATTATTATGTAATCTGGTCCGGTATAAATTATTTTCGAGGAACTTCAGCGATACAAGTCATTTCTTCATTAAAACTAGTTAATT